AACGTCGATGATGCACGTGTCGTCGCGGGCGACAATGAAGCTGGAGGTTGAGGGAGGCGAAGAAACAATGCAGGAGCAGGAAAGAAGAATGAAAGCACGGGTATAGCAGATGGATCTACTACTATCGCCTGTAACGTGGGCTGGGTGACGGGGAAAAAAAGTACATGTAGCCTTTAGCGGAGGTTACGGCGCGCTGTGGACTTAGTTCCCGGACCATCCGACCGACCGAATCCGATGGCGCAAACTCGACGATATTTCCAACCCCACACGAGGATGTCGTGGGAAAAAAAAGAGAGAGAGTATCAGAAGGGGAATGCGAAGGAGAAGAAGAGTGCAGCGGGTTTAGCGCATGCTGGGGGGGTTGGCACTTCTTCTGTCTCTGGCCGTGTCGCTGTCTCTACAGTCCATACCGACCTGGAGCCGCGAGACGTGAGAAGTGCATGGACACGAAATTGGTCAGCATGGGCACTTGCTCGCCGATGAGTCCGCACCGTTCCCCCAGGTATTTCCTAGCGGCCAGTACTTGCACAAGTGACGGACCGGCTGTGTGTAATCCATGCCGCTGGGCCTTCTAAATCGGTGCATCAGCGCAACGTCGTCATCGCGCCTAATGCCGCGCCCTGGTTGTAGCAGCAGCCTCTGCTGGCTCACACTACTCTACGGCGGGCAATATCTCGCTTTCTACAAACAGCCGTACGTCAGGGTGCAGTAGCAGCAGATCTGGCCCCGTGGCCTCTTTATTTTTTCCATCCAGCTTCTTATCCTCGGCCACGGCCTTTTCCATCCGCGGGCATCGCGACTCGACAAACCGTCGACGGCACGGAGCACGGGTGATTGCTAAGACAGCGATCCAGAGGCTAGATCGCCCCGACCCCTTGAAGCGTGCCTATATTTGTACCACCTAATAACCACAGTTCCTGGCCCATGTCCCACGAGCAACGCGTGCAATGCCTCTATTCTTTCGCCAATCGCTGCGTGTGCTGTGCCTAACCGGTGCTTGTACTTACAGTAGCAATCAATCAATTGCTTCCATTGTAGGCCGGTGGAGTGCGGGCCCTCCCCGGAATAAGGCGCCGCCCACTGTGCACGGAGAACTGCAGCGCTCTATGTCCGGCACCAAGTATCACGCCCAGCAAGGTACTTGCAGGACCGTATGGACAGGCTGCACGGAATACGGACTTGAGCCCCTGGTTTCTGGCTCTTGACTTGCCTGAAGCACCGGACGGCCAGCGGGCTTGAGGTACCTGACCAGCCACTGGCAAGGATGCCCTCAGCCTGGACTACAGGTACTACCACGTTCCTATTACAAGCAGGAGCTGCGTCGAGAATCGCTACTTGTACATGCACGCAACACGAGATGCATCCATCCCATCTGCAATGCCCCAAGGCGGGCTGCTCTGTTTGGTAAGACTGTCCGCGGAGTAGATGACAGAGCACGCGCTAGCAACTTTAGACATATAAGAATTTTTTAAAATTTTCCTTTTTCCTCTTTAGCCTCATTGATTTGTTTGTCTTTGGCCGCCTCCTCCATCTTTTTTAAACTGTGGCGTCCACGCCTCCTGATCGACTACGGCGTGCACGACAGCCCCCAATTGCCATGAGGCGCTCCGCACAGCCTAATTAAGAGCCCGGCAGAGGAGGCAGTGTCTGCGCGTCTGCACCACCACCGGAGCCCTCTGAAGCAGCGAAGCAGCGCAGCGGGTAATATCAGGGCTCAGGCTAGGAGGGACAAAAACGCCGTAAATACGAGGCTCTGTCATCGAGGTTGCTGTTTGTGGCTTTGCTTACACAAGCCGCCTCAACGTGGATGTGTCAGCGCCTTGTGGCAGCCAGACTGACGGGCGCAATTACTAGCTATCGCCAAATAAGCGGCGCTAGGTTGATTCCAAGGTTTTCCGTCTTTGCTGTCACTGAGTCGCTGCCGGAAGGGCGCCTGTCAGAATCTTCGGCAGAGGCTGGCGCTACGCTTCGAAGTCATCGCCACACAGATGCATGTACGAGTACCCGGGCAGGGACGTGTCTTGTCTTGCCTCACTGGCCACTGCGAGCAATCTTCAAGTGCATACATGTAGAACAATTCATCTGGAATAGGGGGGCCCATCCACTGCTGAGACAGCGGATTCCTCCAGGGGATTGCGGGTGGGGATGTGCTATCAAGTACATGTACCTTTATACGCAGTGCTGCGACTGGCTCAGGGCGATTATTCACAGCAAATTGCCTGTCGTGGCCCTGGTCTATCAAGATACGATACGAACGAGTGCCGCTGGAGATGGGCCTCGCAATAGTCCGCGCGTAATAGAGGACCCTGATTTATTTTTGGAGGGGCCGCGACCACTCTCATCTGCCCTTTGTAAATCAATACCCTAGTGCGCCGTGCTACTGGAGCTGTTATTCGTCGCGTGCACGGCATGCTTTCCGGTCACCAACCTCTGGGCTTTGATATCAATACCGCTAATAGATGTAGTTGAACAATGCTGATCGCACGTGAACATCTGTACTTGATGCCGATTCCAGACATTACGCATCTTTCGTCCCATGGAATCCATGGAATGCTTGTTTCTAACATGCCAAGCGCCCCATTCTCCATCGGCCACTGCCAGGTTAGGAAATTGTCTACACGTACCTACCGTAGGCAACACCATCAATCTACAGCTCTCAGTGAAGCGCTCACGCGAATGCAGGTTGGCAGCAAAATTGCTACATTAGCACATAAAAATCACAACACGGGATTTCGCCTGAACAAGGCCGCAGAAGCTACGGTAGCCATGCGCCGAGAACCCCCCTTTCTGGAGCGCCGCGGCCGCTCTGCATCCAGAGCTCCTCAATGGCTCGACTCACATGCAGCGTGAATAGCATCAGCCTCCTCAGGGACGAACCCCTCCAACCGCCAGAGCCAAGCATTTGCGCTCCGCTCCTTCGAGAGCCCTCTTTGCCACGCCAAGCTGAACCTGGCTCGTCCGCTTCGTGCCGACCTGATTCGTACGGAAGGGAAATTTGGCGATGGCGCCAAGAGGGTCTTTTCAGGGGTGGGTTCCACGGCGAGCCATTGCTTTAGCCAGGGGTTTGAGCAATGCAAGTCACTCCTCTGCGAATGACCCAGCAGGTGAACTTGCAGTGGTGCCAGTTCTCCGTACTACGACTTCTCGCATCAATGCTTGGCCTTGAGCCAAGCCTGCTCGTGCTAGTGTCAATTTCGGAGTCTGGAAATATATTGCTCATGATCCTGGCATACAAGACTGCTACAAGCACAACTATATTCCCGATGCATCGCACTTAATATCCTACGGACTTAAGTCTTCTTTCCAGTCCCCGTCGTCGTCGTCGCTTTCTGTTCCTGGTCGGTACTCGCGTTCTTCCAGGTGGCCGGTTACCGGAAACTGTCCTGAGCTATTCTATCACATCTCGTCCTACCGGCGCAAAGGTCTTCTCCGCCAGAGTGCGTAGCCGAAATAAGGCCCAGCCCAAGAATTTCAGGGATGGCATGAGCTGCCTAGGCGCAGATCTGGCCGCTGCCTACCACACTGCCTTGGCTACGAAAGGGGAGACGAGCCAGGTTTGTGACTGTCTCCTGCTTGCTTGCTTACTTTATCGAATCTCTGCCCATCGTATCTACTCCCTGCCAGGTTCAGACGAGAGAAAGCTTGTCGAAGCTTGGCCAGCGTATACACTCCACGGTACGCAATGACTTGGCATAGGGGCGCAGAGAGGTGTTTCGAAATGAGCCTCCACCCCTTCGCCGGGATATCAGATCTCGCAAACGGTGGACTCCGGACTTGATGTACTCCGCAAGGCATGTTTTTGCGTGGTAGGAAATATGTGAGACATAACTTTTGACTGTACGTACTTGTATCATTACCTCTCCCCACTGCTCAAAGCCTAACTGATGCTGGAGCTGCGGGATGTTCCTCATGCACATCCAGCCTCCTTTACTTGCGTGCTTGTCTAAGAACGAGACACATTTGTCTTGTTTGGCGCGTGGCACTGGCCCCCTCCAATCCTTTGTGCCATAGTTCAATACTCGGCAGCTAGTGGTATATACTCGGTGCTATATTAGCATCTCGGGTTCGGGTGTCAGCAATCGCGCGTCGCCGCTATAACACACACTTCATTCCCCATCCAAGGTTTGTGTTAGGGGGGCATAGCCCTACAAGCGGCGTCTCACGTTGCGGCATGGCCAGAGATCCTCCAGGTACGGCGTCGCATTACGGAGCCCGAAAGGAGATTAACGGACAAGGCATACCGATCCTCCAGAGTCGACCAACGGATTGCCATGCTCCGAGTTGAGCTGAAACACGGCCGTGTAGCCGCTCGCCTGTTACCCTGTATCTGCTATTTTTTGCCACTCGAGAGACAAATTAAAAAGATGAAGATATACGTACTCTTGGAGGCTTAGAAAAGACTTTGCGGGTGATGACTGGCGTTTCCAATTAGGTTCGAGCTTGAGGCGTGGGATATCGCCTGAGAGTAGTGTGGTCGTAATATGGGTTTCTTGAATTCGTCCGCTGTCCGTCTGATTGTGCATTTGCCAGGCTCAGCTCAAAAGCCTAATGCCACCGTTTGTCGTGTCAGCAAAGCTCTTGGCAGAGGATGCCGTCAATTGAATTTGTCTCGCACCCAGCGATAAGAAAAGAACACGGTGCAGATCTTGTAGATCTCCAAAGGATCAGTCACATGGCGATCTTCAAAGATACGGGTACTTTTGGGCGAGCAAATGCTGAGCTCAAGAGGAAAACAAGCACAAGTACACATGTACCCTGTCCAGATCGGCCGTCGCCTGCGCCACATCCGGCGATCAGGTAAGCCAGGATGCTGCGCCATGAAACACCAGCAGCTGGGCGCTAATTGGCTGGTGGGACCTGCTCTTTCACGACGAACCTCACTTCAAGGCATCTCACTCAGCGCAGCGCCCAACGATTGCCAGCTAGGTATCAAGCGCCACAACAATAGAAACAGCATCAGGGGATAGACAGCGCCAACAGGGCGCGGCAACAGAGCAGCCATGCCTGGAAAACCAAAGGGGAATAAGAGCATCCTGTCGTATTTCCAGCCATCCTCGCCGCCTGTGCCATCGTCCCAGACATCAACGCTATCGTTCAGAGATACGTCTCCACCGGCGCCGTCATCGCCGCTCAGCTACAAGGCTACGCCCGTTGCGAAGAAGGCCGCTCCCCTGGAAATCGGTGCTTCTGATGAGGAAGCCGGCGATGAAGAATGCTCGGATGACTCTCTGGAAGATCTATCAGCTCTACTAGGGCGAGAACGGCCCGGTCACACGCCCCCAGCAAACCATACTTTGTTCTCTACCCCAAAGGCCAAGAGGACGGCAATAGGGCCTTATTTGTCCCCGTATAAGCCCAAACACAAGTTTGATCTCAAAGCCCTAGCCAAGGATGCACGCCGGGATAATGCCATCAATGCAAGCTCGGTGAGAGCGAAAGCATCTGCAGATGAGCCTTCGTCACCGCCAAGGGGAGAGGCCTTTGACCTTGCTTTTACTGATATTGTCAAAGAAAAGAGCGGGCAAGATGCACACAAAGTGCTCAGGGCTGTGCAAAGAGCAGAGCCAATACAGTCCCAGCCTCAATACTGTTTCTTCAAGAAGGACTACAGAGTCCTCCCGAGCTCGCCTGTCCCGAGTTTCCCTCGAGGCTCACCATGGAACTTGTTAACCCAGGGCAATCAAGCGGCCAGAGAACGAAACCTTACCTCTGGGATTCCTCAAAACATCTTGGCGAAGAAAGGAGGCTTGCCAGATTCTTTATTCGAGTGGATCTTGGATGAGCTATGCATTCAGAGGTCTTCCCTTATAAGACGTGAATACTGTATCATCATCAGCAGTTGTCACGATCAAGTGGATAGGATCTTGACTCCTGAGCGATTGGAGGATCTTTTTCTTCGACTTGGTGCTACCGACGACATCAAAACTCGGGATTCTGAGATTGCCGTCTCAAAACCAAACCAAGAGCCATATCAGGATCGTGACTGGTCATGTCTGGAATCATTCTTAGTTCTTTTATCTGAGGTCTCCGACCATTTGTCAACAGAATCTGCCATCTATGCATCCCAGATTCTGCTCCGAATATCCATGGATAAGCTTTTGATCTACAACATCGACCTATTGGCGGCATACGAAGAGGCAATTGAAAGGCTAACTAATGCGATCCCACGCTCATTATGGGATTCGTTTGTAAGTAGCACTCTTTCTGTTATCCTTTTATTCCTGCTTTCCAACTGCTAATCTGCCCAGTGTGTTGACGCATGCTCAATTTTGCACGCCACAGTCAAGATTCAGCATATTAGGGCGAATGCTTTGCAATGCCTGACTATCCGCAGTGTCAGGACACATGAAGTCCGGAGAAGACTTGCAATTTCATTCCTATTTGACGACCCCAGCCTAGCTCGCCAGGTTCCTGAAACAGTTTTTACAGTCAGAAGCGTCATTGATCGTCTGGGCGAGGAGGATTTCAATATTACCTCGCAAACCGACTTTGCGGAGCTCAAAGCCATGATGATTATTCTCGATATCGCGGTTGATGATGGATCGCCACCTGAGTCGAATAACCCAGAAGATATCCAGAGGTTCAACCAAGATGTCGACGAGCTCGCCACAAAGCTCAGAGAAATTTGGCGCAAGATCAATGATTCGGGCATGAAGATTACGCGTACCGAAGCGAAAAGCGTTGTCGAATGGGTCCAGCAACGCCTCTCTAACACCGTTCGGACGCGTAAAAAGGTAAAGCAGAGCATTTTTGATATTCCGGGCCAGGAGGACCTCGCATCTCTGCCCAAGCAGCAGGAGTACATGGCCAAGTTTTTCAAAAAGATACCCAAGCCACAAGCAGAGAGCGATTAAAGAAGGAAGAGAGGCATTTCTTGTACTTGATGTTATACTGGTATTGCATTGATGGATTTGAGCAACAATGGCGTTTGGAGAGCATATATTGGGTGGCCTGCGGGCCTGAGGATTTGCTTCATTGATAGTATTTGATTAGAAGAACGAAACTTAGCTTTGTAATGACATATGATACAACATCTAAGCTAGTAAAAAGCACAGACTAAGTCGACAAAATGCATGCCTCGGAGTTTCAACATGCTGGCCCCTCTACTCTCCCCTCTACTCTCTCATCTTTCCCCCTTTTCTCGAAACAAAGGTAATAAGATATATGTTGCCAAGTGACTTCTGGAGTGAATCTAATCGTAGTATTTGCGGTTGGGGTTCTTTCCAAATAGGTTCTCTCGTACGGCCGGTGCCGCAGCGTGTTCTAGCAGCTGCAATCGGGCCTCTAGGGTGTTGTCAATGTCAATCTTTCCCTTTCCGCCGAGGATGATGATGCCGCCGGCACTGTAGTAAACACCGAGTTAGTAATCTGAACATGCTCCACGACCATCAGTGAACCAGTGCTGCAACGTACGTTGAATCATCCAGGGGATTGGACTCGTCAATCGTGGCAGTGACATCCTTGCCAACCTCCTTCTTGTACTCCTTGGCGGCCTCCTCAACGGCCTTCTTGACGGCATCGTAGTCCGACTTCTTGGCCTGAAGCTGCACCTCCGACTCGTTCATGGCGTAGAAGCCCTCCAGCACGAGCCCGGTCAGCGTCTTCTGGTACTTATCCTTGTCGCTGACCCCCGAGGCGAGCTGCTTCCGGGCCTCGTCGAAGATGCTGTCGAGCAGCTCCTGCCGGGCGCCGAGCACCTTGAGCCGTGTCTTGTTGGCGACGGTCGACCGGGTGATTTGCTGGGACATGGTGGCTTGCTTGAACTTTTTCTCGTACTGGGTGTCGATGGCGTCGGTCTCCTGGCGGACGAGCTTTGACTTTTCGATTTCGAACTCCTCGTTGGCCTTGATTTCGATCTCGCGGGCCTTTTCCATGGCTTCCTGCTTGATGAAGGCGGTCATCTTGCGGAGCTCATTGTCGACCTACAGAACGGGAAGGGAATCTTTGATTAGCATTTACATATTCGATTCACAGGTCCGGTAGCTTTTGGGATGAACCTACCTGCTGGTCGGATAAGGCGTGTTGCGACATCTTGGCTAGGCGGGGAGGAGATGATGACGTTGAAGCAATTGCGAAAGGGACTCGGTATGGTAAGGCCTGGGAGGAAGATGGACTAGGACTATGTCCTTTTGTCTCAACGATCTGAAAAGATGTAGTGGGATGGCGGTCGAGAGTCTTGCTGGTGGAAGCTCTGGATGCGTGAGGGATGAAGCGTAATATCTCGGAGCTGTGATGTTGCTGCTTGGATGCAAGTGGAGCAGCGCTACAGCGGGTTAAGAGAGCGCTGTAGCGCTATTGGTAGTTGGACGGGCGTCGCACCTACTTCTGGAGCCGCGACTGACGCACCGCCACAGCCTTGTCGACGGCAACCTTTTTGGAGGCTGCATTTGTTTAGAGTCACGGAGTGCCTACATAAAATCGCATGGCTGCTTGGCCTTGTATTTCTGCATTTGGCTCCTCTTCATCATCCCTCTATGAATTATGCGCATGGCAAATTTTTTTTGATGAACCTTCCCCTTTTGTGGCATATCTAAAACAAAGCACAAGGAGCAATATCCAAGCAGCTCGGCTTGATGACGAGTGTCACATGACCGCACCAGCCACACTGGCCCAGAGCTCTCCCCCCAGCGTGTTATGCACCTCTGGCTGCAGCTCAGCACGCGGTGCTCCATTCGCATACCGCTTGACGTCGTCAGGTGGCTCTGCATGATTTATCGAGCGCCAACGCAACTCTCTGCACGCTGCCTCACCCGTTGGGCCCCAGCTGATTTAGTCTCGCTATCCGGACGAATTACTTGCGACCACAGCCGCGTTTTTGGGGGGCTGGCTCCTTCAACCGCTACGACGGTTCATCACGAGTATACACCATATTGCAACGATACCGCAGACTGCGCTCGACTCGAACCAGGGGTCCAGCTGCCATTATACGCTCGGTGACATCCTGTCGACGGAAGCGACGGGCAGGCCGAAAGCTATATCAACATCCTTTCTTTTCTTTCCCCCCTCCATCAACGACGAGAAATAGGGAGGGAAACCAGGGTGAAACACTCTGCAACTTCCTTTTACAGCCTTGTTTCGATATTCAATACTCAACCTGCCCAGCACATAGCACCCATACCTATGCGACGACCGGGCGTCTTATTGTTTATATCTACCGGTGGATGACCTCAGGTCCGGAGACGGCGTAATGGGGCCTATTGGGAACATCTCCCCGGGAGGGAGCATAGCTGTATGCGCGCACAATCAGTCCCTGAGTCAGGGCGATGGGAAACTCCAGGCTCTTGCATCTTGCTAACACTACACAGTTAGGAATCCTCGTTGGCCTGATCTCGACTAGCGTTCAAAGTATAGGCCTCACTTTGCAGCGAAAATCACATATACTCGAAGACGAAAAGGGGCCGCACGATGTCCGCCGCCCGCCGTATCGGAGAAGGAGGTGGCAGGTGGGCATGGGCATGTTTGTCATTGCGAATATCCTAGGGAGCACCGTCCAGATATCGACGCTGCCACTGCCCGTCCTCTCGACGCTCCAGGCCGCGGGGCTGGTGTTCAATTCAATATGCGCGACGCTCATTCTCAGCGAGCCCTTTACTCGATGGTCCCTATGCGGCACCCTGCTGGTCACCGCTGGAGCAGTCTTGATTGCCATCTTTGGAGCCATTCCATCGCCGGCCCACGAGCTGGATGAGCTTTTGGAATTGCTGGCCCGGAAGCCGTTTATTGTTTGGATGATACTCCAGGCATTCTTTGTCGTGTCGCTGGCTGTTGCTACAGACGTTACCACCCATCTCTCCAACCTGTCGCACAACGCCAGATTCCGCCTAATACGTGGCATAAGCTACGGTGTCATCAGCGGAGACCTCTCAGCACACTCTTTATTATTTGCGAAATCCGCCGTCGAGCTCCTCATCAAGACAATAGGCGGCAAGAACCAATTCCTTCGCTGGCAATCCTGGGCAATCGTCCTGGGCCTTGTTTCTTTAGCTCTCTGCCAGCTTTACTATTTGCATCGCGGCCTGAAATTAGTTTCCACTTCCGTCTTATATCCTCTTGTTTTTTGCGTATACAATATCATTGCCATCTTGGATGGCTTAATTTACTTCAACCAGACGAGCCTCATCTCAACACTTCGCGCCTGTCTCATCACCCTGGGCACTATCATTCTTCTGTCAGGCGTCTTGGCCCTATCTTGGCGGTTAAGTGACGAGCAGCATGCTCCGGCAGTTGGTCAGTCTTCGTTGGCTCCCGGTCTTGGGCTTGTTGACGATACTGAGGGTGAGGAAGAATCACTAATGGGCCCAGAAGCCACCCCCGAGATTGATGATGAGCTGCCTTCTACGGCATACCAAACGTTCCCCGTCATACATGGCGATACCGCTCCTATGACGCCGACGCGCAAGAAGAGTCTGGGTTGGGTGGAGCGGGATGAGATCTGGGGAGAGTTACAAGATCAAGATGAACCTACCACGCCTTCTGGGCGGCGCCGATCGATGACGCTTCCGATGAGAACCGAATCAACGCCGCTGCTTCCACCTGTAAAGAGGGCGATGAGTGGCGTGAGCCTCTCGGGCCAACCAAGTTCCAGCGCAGATCCTTCTCCTCGAAAGTTTGCCCGCCGTCGGAGGAAGAGTACTGGGTTCCCAGGCTTGGTTGCGCGCCGAAATCTTCGAAGAGACTCGGCCTTTTCAGATACCCTTGGTGGCTTATTCTCGTTGAACTGGCTGAGGCGCCATAATAGAAATACTTCTATGGGCAGTATCAGCATAGAAAACGAAAGCAGCCCGTTGCGTCAAAATTATAGAGATGATCCGGAAGAGGAAAGAGGTTCAGATGGCAGGCCCAACGACTCAAATGTATGAGTTTAGAAAGGAAGAAGGGGAAGAGGAAGAGGAAGAAAATGAGGGGATACAATATACGTGATGTCGATTTGAGAGACATCTTCTAGACTATTAATCATTCACTGAGGACTGATGTGAAATGAGGCGTGTTTTGGGCATGTTGATCTCCGGCTTGAATTTTCCTGGAGATTGAGAGAGTCTGACGACAGCTCCTTTATTTTGGTCCTCGATTTCATTTTTCTTCATATTATACCACGATGGAAATCTAGTTTGTTCATGGCGGGCTTGCATTGCGCTAGATGCTGGGAAGCAGATTTGCAGGAGAATATTCAGGGGGCACCTTTTCGCATCCATAGCTTTCTTTCCTTCCCCGAGTTCTCGTTTTGTTCTAGCGAGTTATAAATCACTCACGATATGTATTTTTACTAGTTTTTTTAGGCATCAAGATATTTTTATTCTGGCATGGGAGTGGTCAAGTGTTGTTTTTGCACTAAGGGTTAGAAGATCTTAGAAGAAGGGATTAGAAAGCGAAAAGGTTCATATTAAAAAAAGAGTACTTTTGGGAATTAGGTAGAGTAAGACTTATAAAACAAATTTTGTGTGCAAACGCTATGGGAATATAAAAACTTGACAAGAATGAAGCTGTTCATACATGATAAAATGTGATGTTTGAGTCTAAAAAAAAAAGAGTTTTTGAGAGAGATGTGTGGTTGTAACCGTGACTGTTGGTGTTTTTTTTTTGTTATAGACGAAATCATTATTTTAACATTTTTTTCTCATTTCATGCTCCTACAAACCGCCATAGTTTCTCTTTTGATCAATGATGTAGTAGCGCTCGATTTCCTTGCGCTCTTTGAGGAGGCAGGCGATGGCAAGGATCAGGAGAGCATCGATACCTTTGGGACTGAGTTAGTAAATTTTCCTTAATTTTTAGATTCTCAAGATCATTTACGTACCGACCATGCCAAAGATGGCTGTGAAAAGGTCAGTGACAAAGGCGTTTGCGAAACTGGCCATGTTTGTGGAGCATCCGCGCAGGAGAGCGGCCGCGGCAGGGCTGGGACAGGCAGAGTCTGTGACAAAGGCGGGAGTTGTGGCGTTGAGGTAACCGCAGCATTGGAACTGTGTTTTTGTGTTAGTATATGGTATATCACAGATTTTATACTGTCTTCTCCCCCCATATACACAAATATATATACATATATATGTAAAAGGGGGGAGATAGGGGCTGCATACCGAAACCTGCACCAACGACTGAATCGACGAATCCTGATCCTCATAAACCGGCAGAAACGTCTCCTTCAACGTCAACGTCATGATCCAGAGGTACAAGCCCACCGCCAGCGTAAACACGGCGCACACGGTAATCATGTAGCCGCTAATCTTGAGCAGGTTGCGCTTGACCAGCGCCATGGCCGGCACGGTGAAGAGGAACGTGACGAGGATGAAGATTGCGTTGACGATGCCCACGACGAGGGGAAAACGCTGGTAGAGTAGATGGCGAGTGGCATCCTGGCCGTCGGTGGGCGTCTTGTCCTTGAGGTTCATGGCGGCGATGGAAAAGCCGAGCTCCATGGCGCCGGAGGCGAGGAAGAGGAGGTCGGCGACGACCGTGGCGACGAAGACTTTGTCAGGCATTTTGGCTGTTGTTTAATATGTCGAGTATGACAATAATTGGCTGTTTTCGGTCCTTTTCGTTTCCCTCTCGATTTTTTGTCTTTTTTGTCACTTGAATTTGACGACCGGCGTCTAAAACCTCCCTTGAAAATCCCAAAAAGTGAATGTCGAAAAAATTTGGTAAACCAAGACCTAAGCTCGGTATACAAGAATCGTAAACGGAAGAAATGAAAGTGAAAAAAAATAATTAGTAGAACGAATGCATTGGCTATCCAGAACCTCAACTGCCCGGCAGTTTTACAAAAGAGAAGCAGACACAAAGAGGTCGCTAGTAGCCTTACAAGAAGAGAACAGAAAAAAAAGGAAACTAAGAAGGGATTAGAGTCACGTCAACATGCACCAGGCATGAAGAGAAAAGAGAGAGGGAAAGAGAAAGAGAGAGAAACAAGAAAAAAAAAGAGACTATACGAAACTCTTGCCCCCTCGCGAGGCGCTTGGCTCTCCAGACAGGCAAGTTTCTTGACGAGGTCCTTCGAACGGGCGGTGTTTCAGGAATCAAAGGTGAAGCAGAAGCGCCGCGCGACAGGGGCGAGTGGCCAATCAGAGGCCCGGATTGGGACCCTTAGTCGCCTGATTGGGGAGTCCTCGAGGGGGGCCTGGAAACGAGAAAAGGTCGGCGGCTTGCTTGGCGTTTTGGAAGCGGTTTTGGGAGCGGTTTTGGGTCATGGTTTGTGGGCGCTGTTCTAGTATGGGCTGATCGTTTCGATTGCAATTTCGCTGCCGTGGTGTTGTTTAATGCGTCTCTTGTCAATTTTACCACCCACCCAGCAGTATTTAGACATTGGCGCTGCTTGTTATGCAGGCCGCATGAGATGAAGCATCATTTCACATTCGTTTCTTCATTTCTTCATTTTCTTTTATACTAGCAATAGAATCCTGTCGCTTGTTGCTCGCTCAAGCGACAGCAAAAAGAGTCCAAGGTGCTCCAAGCCCCGTTTCACTGGACAAGATGCCCATTTTCGGTCTTTGTCCGCCCGCCGTCCTCGATACGAACGATTCCGTCTCGCTTCTCAGAGGATGAAAGAAGAGAGAGGAGAGGCAAACGGAATGCGGCCTCACATCTCAGGCAGCGCCTCGGCTGTCGCTTGATTTCTTCCCGCCTCTGTTCTTAGGCAACAAGAAAACCACATCAGGCCGGTGAGAATTTGGCAATCTTCAGCCCAGCTCCTCTTCGCTTTAGCAAAACTCTCCGCCACGGCCTATGCTTATAAGGGGGATATAGGCCGTAATCTGCTCGCTACCCGTGGGCAGACACGGTAAGCATGCACTGTACGGGATCGCGACTGGGGTGGCACCGCACCGCACGGCAGCTCCAGCTTTGCTCAGCCAGCCATGGCACCGCGCCCAGCCGTCAATTGGCAATCAGCTGGACGAGGTAGACAAGCTGCCGATCCCCTTGCTATCAAGGACCTGGCTAGCAAATGCTGTAGTATGATTCCAGCTTACCAGCAGAACGCGGCATCTTTCCGCATAACAGCAGCTGGAGCGTATATGCTGGTCTAGGTAAGGTAGTCCTTCAGCGCTCCGGGGACAAGCACGTAGCACATGCCCATGCTGTTCAGGCAGTTTGCAATTCGCCGCGGCCATATAGGCTGGTGGAACCCCAATTCGGTAGGCCGTGGTGGCTGGAGAAATCCTTCGCGCACTGTGGCCAGCCCTGCTGCTTTAGCTGCCTAAAGTGGCAATGGCCCCCATTTGTGCTGCTGCCCCAAGCTTTTCTGACAGCCGCTGCGAACTTGGCGCGCCTTGAAGCAGACGATGCAAAATGAAGGTGTCCTGGCTGCTGTGTGCCCCCCAGCTCGATAGACAGTCAGGACAGGCTTGGACGGGCGCTGCCTTGCCCTGCAGTGCTGCTACTGTACCCGCGTGAATCGAGAGCACGGTTCTCGCTAGGTCGGATTTGGCGGGACGAAGTATTTGCATCAATGATTGATTGCATCGATGATTGCATCGAGCTGGCACGTATTAGTAAGTCGGCAGTGTCTCTGTGTGTCTGTGGGTCACAATAGTATATGGCATGGCCCGTGTTTGTCAGCTCGATGTGGACGTGCTCGCAGTCTGCAATATTGGTGGCACGCGTGTTAAAGTACCTGTCTGCAGCATCCCATCCCATAGGTACGCATACGAGAGACGGAACCAAGAGAACGGCAGAGCAGCACAAACAAGGTCCAGGGTCCCGCGTCAGCCCTCACGCGTCGCTTCCCCGTAAAAAAGGTGAAACGCTTCCAGCCCCATGACTGGCACTCATCATATTGCTGGTAGCCATCAACAATAACAGCAACCTACTGGCATTACCTGGCATATCTGGGTATCTGGAATGGAGCTGCAACGGCACTTGGCAACCATTTAGCACCATTGTATTTTCTTCTCGCCCACGTCTCTCCCCTCCTAATTTCACGAAAAAAAAAAAAGTGGAAGAATGGCACTTACGGAGCAATTCCGTAGTGTGATAGGCCCAAGGGCTAGACAAAAGTTCGCCAAAATAGCAGCGGTGCCGCGGCTGCACCTGAAAGCCAGCCATCATGTCATTCATGCAGTACGCAGGGGCTCTCTGCGGCGCGGTTCTGCAGCGTTTTCTGCAGCGTTTTCTGCAGCGTTTTCTGCAGCGTTTTCTGCAGCGTTTCTTCTTCAGCGCCGTGCTAGCAATACCGAAGTCGAAGCCTGGCAGGGGGTAACTGATAATAAGCGGCGAGCCGTTGAATGCAGGTCTCACCTTCTTACAATTCCATCTATAAGGCGAGCAGGTATCTTGTTGTTGCATATGCATCACGCCCTGGGCAAAGCTCGCACGCAATTCTGATAGAGCTGCTGCGTGTCGGTACTTGCGTGACGCCCTGGTCTGGACGGCCTCTGTTGAAAGCGTCCTGGAACAAACTCCACCGCGTGCTTACGGGTGCTAATGCTAGCCGTGGCTCTGATCAATAGGGTGCCGGATTCCCCTGCTGCATCTGCCGACCACCAGTCTGCAGCAAGACACCATCGGAGTGGAGGCCCTGTTCGCTGCTGACGGCCACAATGTGCGTGCCAGGTTTGCACATGGCTAAATAATGGAGGATGACGGTCGAGAAGCGAGTCCAGCCTCTGACCCCTGAGGGCTGAAGTGGACGTGGAGGCAAGCGAGCCAACGACATCCTGATGCAGCCATCCACAGTCGTAGCCTTGGTCAAGTGATGAAAGCAGAGAGTGAGAGAGGAAAAGAGACCCAGAGACAGAGGCTTGATTGGGTGAATCAAGATTCAACCGCTTTCGCTTTCGGTGTGGGACACGGAGCCTCCAGAGCCCCGGAAGCCATACAGAGTGGCTCCTCGCGTGCCGTAATACGAGAACAAAGGGCAAAGTCAATTTCCCTGCGTCTAATCAGTGGGTGGGAGGCTAGTCGTTATGGAGAGGCGGCGCGAGCGTCCCGTAGATCTCATCATCACTTTACCTGGCCTGCCTTACCCTTTTACCTTGTCCTCTAACCTTAGTTGAGCGCATCATCTTTTCTCGTTTCTGTCTAGGTAGATAGGTTTTTCGTATTATTAGCTCGCGAGTCCGGACATGGAAAAGTGAAGATCGAACCAGCACGGCAGGCGGGTGAGAGAGGGGGGGCCAAGAGACTGCTGTACCCTACGGGCCACCTGTGCTTGTTTTGCCTGTACGCTGCCATCCGCATGCAAACAAAGAGACACATTACACTGTGCATTGTATACATTGCCCATTGTACCGGCATCCATCTGCTTCTACGCATTAGTAACGCGTGATTTTTAAGAGCCAGCTGCACGGAGTACGGAGTGCATACATGTCCTTAATCGGCCCATATGGGATGGAAGCTTTGCTGATCCACCGCTTGGTGTCGAGGCTCTGCAAGTGCAAGAACAGAACGTGAAGGCTGGGAGAGCCGGGCTAATACAGTGCCGAGATGCGCGCCTGTCTGCACGGTAAGGCCCACCCGGATGCTGACTTTATTTCGCAGCCCCGCTCTTTTATTCGGTGCCGGGTGCCAAACTCGCAGCGCCGAAGCTGGCGCTGCGCGCTGGCCGTTGCAGCTAGGCCGTGCTATCAGGAGCCACGCCGCGCTATGCCGCCCCGTTACGTTTCCTGCTCGTGCGGCCATAGGCGTCTGTCACTCCGGCAGCAGGCTAGCGCCGCCAATGACAGGCCAGGTCGCATCGCCAAATTCTCACGCAGCCGCGCTGGCAAAAACACCTGCTCCACGCCAGCTAAAACCCCTCCGGCCTACAAGCGCCCCGACAGAGCACTAGCGCTCGGCATAGGGGTCCTCGGGGCAGGCGCAGGCTGGGCGTACTAAAGCAGCGATAGTACAAGAAGCACCCGCTAGATTCCTCTCGCTCGCTCTCCGCGCCTCTTGCCCACCTGTTTCGCACCGCCACCGTGCGCACCCGCCGCCTCCCACTGGCCTCTTGCCGTGCTCGCAGTTTTCTCCAGTCTCCAGCACCTCCGTTTAGGCATTAGGGCCCCTCTGCCACCCAAGGCCAAGTTCCCTTTTTCTACCGCCTGTCCCTCTCCGCCCAAGCAGAAAAAACCCGCCAGATCCAGTATAGATCCATCGGCACCACGCTCAAAGCAGTATCTCCACCACTCGTTGCCTTTTCCAGCGCCGTGTGATACAAGTCGACGACGATTGGATTCGGATTAGGATTGGCATTGGCAGTTTATAGTCGCCGTCGCAGTTGCAACCACGATTCCATTCTCGACAATGGCCGACATCACCGACCAGCACGACCAGACGTCGCCCACGGACCTGGACGACGCGCACTCGGTGGGCAATGGCAACAACGCGAACAACGAGAACCGCGGCGTCAAGCGACAGCGCCCGGCCGCCGACGACGACGACGACGATGACGATAAGGGCGGTCGTGAGCGTCGCAAGATTGAGATCAAGTTTATCAGCGACAAGTCGAGGCGCCACATCACCTTCTCCAAGCGCAAGGCGGGCATCATGAAGAAGGTATGTGCTG